TATACTATTACTATTATCTAACACTTTAGTTATTACATACAAAATTGACTTCCATTTAAAGAATTGAAGATGACCTTGAAATTTCGAAAAATGCTAATGATAGAAAGAAATCGAATAATTCACTATGTGGTCCCGTTCGAACCATACAGATTTCACCTCTAGTAATTTTCACCCAAATTATTGCTTTGGGAGTTATCAGAGTGACTTTACTTTTGTTAGATACAGGGTGTTCGCGCGAACAGTATACAATCGATTATTTTCTAAACTAGTTCAAATGCGGGATAACTGTCTACATTAAATTAGTGTCGCGTGGAGGCTAATTAACGGACCATGACGAATTTTTTGTATCACTATCATTTTCAAAGAAATGAAGGACAAGTTTGGTTTTTTAAATGGAAGTATACATTTTTTGTTAGATCACGTGAATCAACGGCCTGTATACTGTTCGTGCGGACAGCCTGTATATCACATCGAATAATTGAAATACAAATATCTCTTAAATAATGGTTCTTTTATATGAATAGGTTAATACTTTTTTATACAAAATTACGACCAGGATCGACTAACGTACTATAAAATATATTATTGCATTTAAAAAACCAACTTGACCTTCATATGTCCTCTACGTATCCACTTAAACAAAAATTATATCGCATTATAGCCCCCTCGAAACCATACAACTTTCATCTGATACATTTTTCACTAGAATCATTACTTACGTAATAATATAAATTAAGCACGTCTCCGGATCTTTTCCGATCCGAATCCAAGTAAAACAATTATCCCCAGATATCCGAATATAAGTTTATTGGTACCCGAGTACTCAGATACTCAGGACTCGGATATTTGAAAATCTGAGCAAAGAGCCGGATCACGGTGCGATGGCAGATAACGTCGGCCAATTCTTAGAAATCCACCTTTCCGCATATATGTCCGGGCGGTCGCCTGAGCGGTAGACATATACGCGAACATCACTGTATGATATTCAGTACGTATAGAGACAGACAATTTTTAAAGTCTCATTGGTCTGCAAATATAACGAAACCCGGTATGACATATGTAAGGGATATTTTTTAAAGTTAGGGGTAGTTATTTTACAACACGTAGGCATTGAAAGTTTTAACTTCCTAATATTTAATGACACTGTTTGTGTGTCAATTTTAAAAGGAACTTTTAAGATTAGATAAACTTATTTCGCTCAGAGTATATTTAGGGAGTATTGTTTTACGTTTTGTAGGGAACAGCTAGGGTACTTTTCGTCAATATTTCTGCTGTTGAGGTTATTAATACTATTTAAACATACGTAAAGGAATAAACAATTTTCAAAAGCAAAGAAAATACCAATATATGTGAGGGGTGTTTTTCTTCTCTAAACATAAATTTCCGCCGAAATTTAATACAACACAATTAGTAACTCGAAGCCCTCTGTGCGTTTGCAGAGTTACAAAAAAAATTGGGTTCTGACACCAACCTAACCTCCCTTGTCAGTACCACCCTTACCACCGGGTAAGCGATACACTTGCCCGCGCTCGCGCTTAGGGTCTTCCACCTTATGTAAAATTTGAAGTAGGAGGGAAAAAAGAGAAATAAAATTATTAAGATTATTTCTTTTCAGTTACAGGTTTTTAATGATAACGAATTTTGCTCAGGGCCCCGCAAATTTTAGGGGCAACCCTGCTTCTACTTCATAATACATTTAATATTTCTTTACAAATATTAATTTTTCTTTCATACAAAAGTTTTCGTAAGACATAAGTATTAGGTATACTTATAAGAAATCCAGATATATATTTTAAGGTATATCTTCCCAAACTTTCCCTGAGTAGGAATGGCATAAAATGCTAAGATGCTGAAATATCATATGAACATTAAACACATGAAACAGTACACAGGGTATGTCATTTAAATCGATCACCTCGAATATCTTCAAAACCATCGATAATACCGAAAAATATTTCAAATAAAAGTTGAATGGTACGAGAGGGAGGGGGATAATTTAATATGAATAGTTTTTTGGTAGGCCGCATAGAAGGCACATGAGGGAAAAATTTGCTTTTTTTTAAATGCAATCATATAGTTTTTCATGCACCAGTCGATGCAGTTCGTCATTCCCTATAAAAAAGTATTAAGCTGTCCAAAATAAGATGTTGAATGTCGCGTGTAGTACCGCATACAATTTTGAAATCGTAAAAATATCTCGTAAATTAATCGTTTTTCTGAATGCACAGTTTCATACTTGACTGACGAACTACATCATCTAACACAGTAAAAAATATATGGTTCCATTGAAAAAAATAAATTTTACATTCTTACCTCCTCTACGCGTGCAGCTATAAAAGAAATTCCTTACAGTAAATTATCTCTCGCCGAAACCACTCAACTTTTATCTTAAACATTTTCCGGTATTATTAACAATTTTGAAGAGATTCTAGAAGATTGATTAAAATGACTCACCCTATACAAAATCTTTCGTTTCCATAACAACGATCAAAAGATAGTATCTATACATCGAAACATTTTCATGGAACGTTTATTTACTCCGATGAACACGATCTGAGAATAATTGTAGCGCTTATCGAAGTTAGACGATTGATGCATTTCGAAATCCGCACTTACCAATGCGATACATCCGGTCCTATTCCTAGCTCGCTGACCGCTGTTGCAATGAAATGTCGCTCGAGGTTTCGTTACGACAAAAATGGTGGAAATCGGGTCATCCCCGATTGAGGTTGTATTAACATTTTGAATGTACATTGGTGCTTCGTTACGAAAACATCACCGGCTTTCACTGAATTTATTTGCATGCTGTGACATATGTCTTGATTACGTGTAACACGTTTGCAGTGACTATGAAAGAGAATTTAAGTATTAACTCGACAACAGTCCGAGGCAAAGACAGAATATTTACTGTTACTCTCGAAATGTGTGTACCCTCGCGAGCAAACCGGGCTTCCGCTAGGGGAAACAGTGACGTAGGAGAAGGTCCCCCTTCCATGCTCCTACCTCGTTTTATTTGAAATTACTGAAATTTTTGCCAAATTAAAATTCGATTTAACATTTCTTTCAGTACCTAGAATAAATTTACCAAGTGGTAGAAGACTTTTCTTCTACGCCGCTTTTTCCCCTAGTGGAAGTCGAGTTTGCTCATGGGTGTACTTACATCCAATTTATTTGTTAGTGAAACATATAAGAATGTTAAAAGAAAAATAAAATTACTAATTAATACTGATTCAGCCTAATTGAGTTATGATTTTGTTTCGAGATTTCGATAAAACCTTGTCACCGAATGAGTATCGACTGCGCATAGTGGGCCAGATTGAAAAGCTAGCTGTTCATTTACCCAGAAATCGAATTCCTCATATCGATGTTAAACGAATGTATATCACTTCCTAAATGTGTATCACATTCTAAAACGATGAAAGTAATGAGATATATTAAAAATTGTAGTTAAAACAAGCACTTAAAAAGCAAACTTTTATAGATACCATTTTTCACCGAAAAAGTTACTTTTCTTCGTAGTGATGCCCTGGAAAACCTATTAAACATTATGTGTTCATGTTTTTTTTTATGAATAGTATATATCCTATATTGACAATGCACCTGGATTAAAAAGTTATTGTTCATAATTTGTTTAATAAATAATACTCAGTGAAGTAAAGAAACTTGTCGAAGTTTTTTACATTTGACAAGAATTATCTTAAAAGTTTTAAAGAGTTATGCATTCTATCAAAGTGGAATATTTTCAGGCGTTATTTCTCTATAGAATCATGCAAGATTCACTTCCTCCCTCGTCCCACCCCATAAGTTACTATTGTTTAAAGCGTCGGGTGACACGCACTTCAGCGGCGAGTCGCGTTGTACGAGACGCGTTGCAGACCATACTTACACACATTAAGGTTAAAAGAAGAACTCCAAGACGATGATGATTCATTATAGATAATAAATTTTAGATAAATAAATTAATACATTGTAAAGCCCTAGTAAAAAGTTTATTATCTTTGTTAATAAGAATAATTGCATAGATTTGTGTTTATTAATAGACAAAAAATAAATAAAAGTTTATTAATAAAGAATAATAAAAATTATAATGCTTTTTTTCTTTATAAGCCGAAAATCCGTAGGGTTTTCTACTACTATCACTTTTCTACTACTACTACTATCACTATCTAACATCTGTTAGAACTTCTACGCATTGTACACATTATTAAAGTTGGAAAAATATTTGTTTATTTCGATAAAATTTTTATTTCATTTACACGTGTTTATTATCTTGTCACACCAGATATTCATATAAATCGTTCCAGTTCCAGGAAAACAATGTAAACAGCGAATGACCCTTTTTCATGTTACTAAGGAAGAGTTTGTTCCTGCGAGGATGTGTATAGAATTTCGGTATACTGCACTAGTTTTGAGAAATACCACAAATTTAGGGGTACCCTATCATTTTACCGCGGAGTGTGGAAGGTCACGGCACTGACGGTCATCGATCGAACCCGTGATTAAATAGCTGACTCGCGTCCGTTGTCAGTAGAATAACACGTAACACCCAACGTAGGTATTTCATTCACGTTTTCGACAATTACTAATTCGGAAAGAATGTCATGGTTTTTCTCTAATTTTGAGAATTCCCGTTAAAATTACTGACATCTGTAACCGAACAACCTGTATAACCCTTACACGGACGCGTGTGTATATTGAGTAACCAATGAATAACTTTATGACAAGAACAAACTGTTCCTCGTAATTAAACCTTCTTGAGACCACAGGTTTGTCCTCCAATCAGAATTTGCCTTTCTTTCTGTGCAGTATTTCTATTTCAATTTAGTCTCGAAGCGTCTTTTACACACTGAGTGTAATACAACGTGTGCCTGACCTTATTGCCCTACAGCCAACCTGTAAGAATAACAAAATCAAGTGAAAATACACTCGGTACAAGCTTCAGAACGTTTTGTATCAATATTAATTGAAGTAAACTAATAACATATTTGCACTTTTTATAGGTGACTTTTCAGAAAAAATCGACCGAGAGGCAAGGAGACTGCTACAAATTCTTCCTGCATACGATCCTGGTGCTGGTCCCGTGAGTCCACAGTGCAAAAGGCATGCCGAGATTTTTCACCAAGAATTGGCTAAATTTACATTATGGGCTTTGAAAAGTAAGTATACCATATCGATGAAACTTGTATGTATACATTAAGTAATATACACCAACGAACATAATACCGAGCACCTTTATCATACATGCATGGTACAAGCAAAGGACCAATTCTGTCTTTAATACTTTGCTGTCGTGACGGTCACCGATGGCTGTCACTCGATGTGTCAGTGGCACCATGGGGGTCACCAGTGACTGACGAAACGGGAATTAATTAGAATACTTGGATCAAACAAATGATACTTTTAAACTTTTCAGTTCTATTCACAACGTAATGTTAATCTGTGATCCCTAGCGAAATAAATGCATAAAGCATAAAAACACAGCTGAATTCCATAATCCTAATGGGTGATTCTATGACAATTAAGTAACTTTCTGGAGGATATTGCACACATCCATTACTAAGTTTAAAAAATGTGTCTTGACATAGATTTAATAGAAAATATAACAATTGTACTGTTCCCTAAAGAGACAGTCACTATACAGACTGAATACATATATGTATTCAGTATTTACGAAGTTATTCGAGTTTTTCTGAAAATTACCTCCAGGGAACTGACAGGTAAACCAAGGAACTGAAGGAAAATGCATTTAATTGAATAGAATGTTGCTTTATTATAAATTGCATTGTTCTGTTACCCCAATTAAATAAAGAATATCACAATCAGTCAGTTTGTATTCTTAGTTCTAAAGTTTAAAACATGAATTAACTAAATAAATTAATACTCTACAAATGAAAATTACCATTTCTTATATACTGTAACTAAGGAATATCTCTATATTTAAATGCTTATGTTTGTAATCATAAACTAACATCAGTCTTGAAAACAATCGGAAACTTTAAAAATATTAACATTAACCATGCATTTTAACATTACATTCTCAATTAAAAAAAACAACCTTATACTATGCATGTAAACATGATGTTCAAATGGCGTGTCTCCACCGGTGTTCGCGAATCTTTTGTGGACAATGTTTTACCTATCGTTCCACCTGTACAGACTCCTATTCGCCGGAGGTATGTACGCGAGTTGTTCGTGAACTTTTCACAAACTGTATGCAAGCTATTTGAAATCAACAACTGTTTCCATCTGCCCTGTTCATAGTCGCGAACAGTTCGTCATGAGTTCGCGTTTGGAATGGTAAAATCAAAGAAAAAATCATATATTATACATACATCGTATATGTTCAAACGGTGCTCTGAAGCTTCGAGGTGAAAGACAAGGACAGAGATAAGACGCCGAGATGTCAAGTTCCGCATTCCTCATTAGAATTTCACGAAAAGAATAACACAATTCAGACTATAATTAACGAAATTACACGAGGAATTAATTTGTATAATTTATAGCTAACTTCGTTACAAATAGTCTGATTTATGTGATATTTGGTATAATTTTAATCGGGAGAACGCCAAGAAACCATGTAGTCTGAGAGCCGGAAATGAGAAAATCGTAGTTTGGCAGCTTGGATATGCTGTGTTTGGCAACATTATAATGTCAAATTTGTAAAAAGATTACAATACCCTTACGTCATTTGATTACAGCTGAAACTTATTTTGGTAATAGTTTAAGTACTTGTTACAACCTGTGTGCGTAGTATGCAGACACGTGCGTACTAGTATAATATTATAGGAATTAGATAACTAAAGTACCTTTCCCGGGATACGTATGCCTATATGTCGATTTTAATGGGTCGACGTGCAGCTAACGACTTCGTGCAATGTCAAGCTGACAACGAACATTCTGACGCGCATCGTAGAAAATCGTGTGTCGCGTGTAAGGTTACGGTTACACTGGACGTGTATTCGGATGACTAGCCCGTCGTCCGTATACAGCTAGTGATGGGTCTCGGTCGGTTAGGTCAGGCCTGTCCAACATGTGGCCCGCGAGTCATTTCGCCAGACGACGCGGTCCCCACCATCACTCAGTCCATTCCCCACTACTCGCTTGCGCTGCGATGCGATCGTGGGGCAAGAGGTACGCGCGGGTAGGAATTTCTGGAGCGTCCGAAGTGGGGACGGTCAGAGCATGTACACACGCTTTCTTGCGTCTATATCGTCGGGCTTCTTGTCGATATGGAGGGGGTTCATTCCCCTCGGCTGAAAGAGCAAGCCGGTAGGGGCGATTATCGCTTTTGGCCCGCGGGCCACAAGTTGGACAGGTCTGGGTTAGGTATATCGATTTTCGATTAGACTAGACTCATATGGCGGTGGATTCATTTATGGTCCACCGCGGCTCCTAGGGGAGGTGATCGCCGAACCCGACCACGTCTCTCCTTGAGGTCGGCTAGAACGGCCTCCCCATGTATCGCTGTTGGAGTCCCGGGACTCCCTCCCTGTCCTTGAAGGGGGGTGGTAATTTTGTGAGGGGTAACCAGAGGAGGGGGGGCTCATGAATTATTCGGGACGTAGGCAGGTAACTGACTAGGGGGTTGAAATAGGCGATACAGCTCTCTCTCGATGATGGAAAGTACTGGATGAAGCAAAGAGTGAGCTGGTACTCACTTATGGAGACGAAGGATCGGTTGCCCCGACGACCATACTCCTTTAGCTAATTTTATTAGGTAGGGATGGGACGATCCTAGTGACTCTCCGCCCCCCGCGCGAGTACTTCCCCTGCCTCCATGTGGCCCGGGCCTAAAAAAGTTGGTCGGGAAGGAAAACTGGGGGAAGCAAGCTCCCCGGGTAATGCCCTCTAAATCCATGGGAGCGGTTATACTGCACGCGTATCGGTCGTCCGAAGTCACACGCGTTCGTCGTATACGAGCGCCAAAACGCACGGGAAATCGCTGATACGAAAAGGGAAAAGGGCTATTCCATTTTAAGCGAATGCCGTACAGATTAACCGGTGACCCTGCCACGTTTCAACGGCTATTAGATCGAGTAATCGGCCCGGCAATGGAGCCTTACGCATTCGCTTATCTGGACGATATAATTATCGTAACAGCTACCTTCGAGGAACGCCTCAAATGATTATCGCGTGTACTTCGGACATTAAAATCAGCGGGATTAGTAGTCAACCCGGAAAAATGCGAGTTCTGTCGCGAAGAAGTACGGTATTTGGGATTCATAGTGGGGCGTGAGGGGTTGAAGGTGAACGCGGAGAAGGTCGCACCTGTGCTCGCGTACCCGGCGCCACGAAATCTGAAACAATTACGTAGATCTGTGGGAATGGCGTCGTGGTACAGACGGTTTATAGAAAATTTCGCGACAGTGGCGGAACCACTAAACCGTTTATTACGCAAAGATCAAGCGTGGAAATGGGAGGTCGATCAACAACTCGCCTTTGAAAAATTACGTACTAAGGTTGCGACCGCACCAACATTACCGTGTCCCGATTTCAACCAACCTTTCGTGTTACACACGAATGCCAGTACCGTAGGACTAGGGGCAGTACTAGCGCAGGAAATCGAGAAGACCGAAAGGGTTGTCGCGTTCGCGAATGGCACATTAAATGACGCGGAATCGTTTGGGCCACGAAAAAATTCCGACCGTATTTGGAGGGGTGTAAATTTACCGTACTTACCGATCATAGCAGTCTGCAATGGTTAAGGAATTTAAGAAATCCATCGGGAAGATTGGCGCGATGGGCACTAGAATTACTCGAATATGATTTCGAAGTGAAATTTAGAAAAGGCGCATTACATTACGTGCCAGACGCCCTATCGCGAATATACGAAGACCAGGGGGAACAACAAGTACAAGCGGTTTTAGCAGCAGCCGCCCCCGCAGATTGGCATGATCGGAAAGTCGCGGAAATTCGCAAACATCCGGATCGGTTTCCCGAGTGGTTATACGAGGACGGCAATTTATATCGTTGTAGGCGCGATCTGGTAATTACGGAAATATTAGGAAATACTAACGACGATTGGAAACTGGTAATACCGGAAAATGGGAGAAAAGTAATTTTGCGAGGACACGACGACCCGCAGGCGGGACACCTCAGAATACAAAAAACGTATGAGCGGATCGCGACGCGATATTATTGGCCCTGTATGCTTGAAACCGTGACTGACTACGTACGGCACTGCCAGGTGTGCCAGAGGACGAAGGTGGAACAAATACTCCCCCCGGTCTGATGGATAAACGTCGCGGGGAGGCGCCGTGGGTGGCGATCGCGACGGATATTATAGGGCCCTTACTGCCGAGCCTTGCGGGACGAACGTACCTTCTCGTAATACAAAATCTATTTGCAAAATGGATAGTGTCAACCGCTACGTAAAGCCACCGGGAAAACAATTGCGGAAGCATTGGAAAATTTGGTGTTTTCTCGATGGGGAACACCAGAGGTGCTATTAACGGAGCGGAGGAATACGGTATCTATCACACGACGACACCACCGTACCACCCACAGGCAAATCCGGTCGAAAGGGTTAATAGCGTACTAAAGACGATGATAGTTGCGTATTTAGAAAAAGATCATCGGGAATGGAACCTCCACCTACATCAATTTCGCTTCGTGTATAACACCGCGTATCATTCGGCATTGCGTACCTCGCTTGCATATTTAAATTTCGGTAGGGAACCAAGTCCCGCGAATTGCGTGCGTAGGAATCGCGAAGGACCGTGGAAACGAGTAGCGTCCATCCCCGAGCGATGGCAAGACCGAATGATCAACCTAGGGCTACTCGCGTATGAGTGGCGGAAAACCTAGAACGGGCCTACGAAACAAGCGCACGCCACTACAATCTGCGGCACCGCGATTGCGTTTTTCACGTAGGAGAGCTCGTATTAAAAAGACAGCATATAGTATCGTCAGCTGCCAATAAGATTTCCACCAAGTTAGCGCCGAAATTCCACGGTCCCTTCAAAATAGCGAAAAAATGATCGAATGTAGTCTACGAGCTGGAGACAGAAAAGAAACGGGTAGGGAAGGTCCATATATCGGACGTAAAACCATACGTAGCGAATGACGACTAACGGGAAATTTCTTTTTGTCCACCACCACCTCACCCACGGGGGTGGCATACTCCAGAATGACTACGCCGGAGCCCCGGCGTACT